ATACACAGGAGTCGATATACCAAGTTTCGTGATTTTCTGATGGATCATTCCTGAGATATACGAAGCCAAACAGGGCACAACTTGCAGGCATACTTATAAATAGGCATCGAACACATCCGAATACACAAAATTCTATACACAGGAGTCGATACACAGAGTTTTAAACGAAAGAACGACCACTCCTAAAATACACAAAGTCAAACTTGCACACATACCTCCATACGGACGCAAACAGACAGAACCCTAGGTATAAAAGTCATCCCGTCAAATTTCACAACAAACCAGACCCTGACACGCATCCACCCCCCGCGAAAGCACCTTCGGAATCGGTTGCACTCGACTCGCATTAAATTTCGCCAAGAGCAGCCGGGAAAGAGAGATCCAGCTCGATTAATTTCCCAGCAGAAGAGTCGTGTCCCAGGGAAAGTATAACTCGAACCCTAGGATAATTACTATTATTACCAGCGACTTTGTTGCCAGCGTCGGGAGCACGGTTGACTCTTATCGGTAATTACACGGCGAGAATGTAAATGACGAAACGTTCGCCGCATCGTCGTTTTTCCGCTGTCTCTCCTTCTCTGGGCGCGAGATGAAGGATCGTTACGGGGGTCGAAGAAACCGCGCCGATAGGGATCGGCCTCGCCGCGGATCGATTGGAGATCAGAAACTGATTTCCGCCGTCGCCGATCGGAAACCGTCGATAAGAAAATGGCAGCCTGGCACTTTTGACTGTTCGTTTAACTGTCGACGGACAAGGCTCGATTTCGGTGTCCAGGGACGCTGGGATAACAGTCCGCCATCGAGAATAGTAATTTCGAACCGACTGCCGCCAGCCTCGTTTTCGCTACCCCGCTTGAATTATAGTCGTCCGGAGATTTATGGCGAAATGGTTCGCTTATTAGTTTAACGGGGAACACCCCGTTGGCGCAACGCAAACAAATAAGAAACACGAAATGAGAGGAATAAGAAACGGGACGGCTGGAATATGGAAATGTGCGTAAGTAAAGGGTGTATCCCAATATCGAGTCATCCTAGTCCTGTCACAGAGTTGGCAACGGTAACGATTAGTTTTAACGCCTCGGAAATTGAAATCTAACGTATTTAAGTCTCGAGTCTGACAACTCGGCTGACTTCAATTTGGTCTCTACTCCATGGGTGGGATTTCAATCCTCCCTAGAAGACATCGCGCGGAGGAGTTTAGCTAAAAATCGAAGAATTTCTAAAGAATACTTCACGCTCGTCTTGAATAGAGGGGGGGACGTCAGCGAGACTCTCGACGAGAATTACAAATTGAAATGTCAGTCTGGCCTCCTCCCCCGCGCCCTTTAAACCATCCGGAAGGAAGATATCTGGTGGGAAGAGAGAGAAAACGTCGCAAGGGAGGCGAGAAAAGAGCCGAGACAACGAAGAGGAGCCCTGCAGCGGAGAAGAAAGGCGTGACAACGACTGCACTTAGCATAACAATATTTACTACTAGAAGAAACTTGAGAGACTTGAATATTCTATGCGATGGCCTCGCCCATGCCTTGCGCAACCACTCGCGGCCCGCGTATATAATTATGCGTCGGGGATGGGACAGGACCGTTGTTCCGTACGTCGGCGTCGCGAGGGCCGTGGAAGAATGTCTGCGATTGTTTAAATAAAATAAAGGCGAAGATTATATACACGGTTCGAGCCAACTTTCCCGTTGACGTACCAAAACGTCCTGTGTTCGAGCCAAGCGAATTTAAAAGATCTAGGTTACTTCGCGAAAAATCATTTCCGTTCTTAAGGAACCTCTTCAAGTATACCCACTATTTTCCTCCAAGATGGAAATTTGTTTAGGTGAATACTAACTTTCACTGAAAACAGGGCCTGTGCTCTTTCCAGGTTTAAAAAGCAAATCCTCCATCCCAGGAAACCAAGCTTGCAAGCATTAGAGAACCAACCAGGAAGCGTCCAGAAACGCACGAGTGGAAAATCGTTGGCGAGATCGGTTGGTGCGAAACAAAGCCCGAAGGTTCTCTCCCCGAAGTGCGTCGATACTCCCCGGTTCGTCCTCTTCTTGCCAGGATCGTTCCTGTCGGCCGCACCAATAGGATAAGTAAGGGTAACTACGTCTCAATAGCCGGCGCATCGCGGTAGACCGAGCACCGCGACTCCTAATATGGAATTGCTCTGCAACAACCATCGAGGCATGGAACACTATAGAGTAGGGTTCACAAATATTGGTCCACCGAGGTCAAGCAGGGACAAGTCTACTCTGAATGAATGGAAAAGTGGGTGGGTTTCACCGGAAATTAGGAAACTGGACACTTCTGCACGGTGAACTCTGGAGTTTCTTTGGATTCGTAGATGGTACTCGTAATCTCTATTTATTTAGTCCATTGAGTGGTAAATACCAGAGAGCCCTGCAAAGTATTAGATACCCTCTCCAACTTCCTCCTCGATGCAACACTTCCTAACGCAGAACGTTGCCTACCAAAAATTCCTTTTTCCACCTCGCCTATCTGTATTATTGGCTGACCCTGGCCGACCGATACTCTTGGATCTCGCTATAGCAGCTCGAGATGAGCGAAAAAAAGGCGAAGGAAGCGCGAAGAGAAGTCGAGAAGAAGTCTAGGAGCTAGAAGGAAGAAGTCGAGGAGCCAAGGTGGAGGAGCCCTCGGAGCACGGGCAAAGAGTACCTACTGTAAATTATTATTCCAGCTAGTTTCTTGCCCCGGGACTGTTGGTAGTCTACCTACTGCCACGCGGTTCGCGCTACCTATCTTCGAACCTATCCGTAGCAGAAGCGCCTCTGTCCTGTTTTCTCCAACGTCGGGGCGTCCCTCCGTTCCCCGTGATTCTCGGCAAAGAAGAGGGCCCCGTCTTCGATCACGGTTACCGGCCAGGCCTGCCAAGCATCGCGGCAAAAAAATACTCCCCGAGTTGCTTGGCCGCGGTGGAAACCGGGAACAACGATTTCCACGCGGCGTAACGCACCGCCGACGATCGCCTTTCCGGCGAAACTGTCCGGGCGTAGCAGGAAATCCGCGGCTGAGAAAGAGGAACCCGTGGAATTCTGCTTTCTTGCCGGCTACTCGGGAATTACCGCGTTTTTTTCGCGCTCGGGGGATGCGGAAGACGTCGGAAGGGGACTTTGAGAGCGTTTCGTCGAGGATCCGAGGGCAACACGCGATTGCTACTCGAGGATCGATGGGGATAGGCGAGGAACAAGAGTAAGGAGTTGGAAATTGTACAGAACATGAAATTATGAAGTTTCTTATTGGATTTATTAGTAGGATTTATTAGTAGGATTTATTAGTGAGATCAGGTCTTGGACTTCCTAGTAGGAAATGGAGCTTTTCTCTCATCAGTACTTTGAGTAAGGGCAGGAATTGCCCCTAAAGCTACCACTGGTGGGAAGATCGGTGACAGTGGGATGTACGTACCTGCAACAAAAAAGAAAAATATGATTAGAATCAAATAATCTATCGCCAATTTAAAATAATTTATCTCGAGAAATTCTTGCAAGCAACGATATCAATTATACGAGAATAACGTTCTCAAGAGGAAACCTCAAACAAAGACACCCGCCTGAAAGTATTCCCTAAAATAATATCAGTTTCAAATTCCCTCGTCTCCTTTCATAGGACATCCGGTCCCTGTTTCTGGGAGCACCTTGTATACACGCACGGGAGGACAAAAGTCGGTCCGTTGCGCAACGGCGCGCGAATTCGCGATGACTTCGAATCGTTAGCGAGCGTGTATCGCGTGTCGGCTCGTTGTTCCAACCGTGATTCATCTGGATCCGAGGAGAGCACCTGCAACAACGACGACTCCTCTTGCCCGGATCGTGACACAGCCAGTCCTCTATTTTCACCGTTACGCAATCGGAGATAGTTACGTCGCGAGCAGAGCCAGGGAATCTTCTCTTCCTGGCCGATCGGCTCGACTAAATAGCTCCGAGGCTCGCCGAGCAAATGTCGTGCGAATCCCGCCGCTCGTTTTCATCTTCTTACGCGTCTGGTTGCGTCACCTATCCGTGGGCTACGCGATCGGAGCATCTGCGTGGAAGAAACCATCGATGATGCGAGTGTAGTCGAGACGAAACTTGGAGAGTTTACAGAAAAATTGCTACGTCGTAAACCGAAGGGTACAGAAATTATTATTGGTGATCGAGTGCCTTTGGAGCATCGGCGTCCTATAGATATCGAGTCCAAATTTATCTTGATACTCGTGCTACACTCGATCTTGGATACACCGCGCCTAGGATTTACAAATATACCCGACAAAAAGCATAGAAAAGTCCTTTACTGCTTCGCGATCCAAAGCTTCGCTACCTAGATATAAACGATTCAAGTTTACCGTTGCGACTCCGGCGCGCGCCATCCATATCCCAGTCAGCTGATCGCGCCACTGCGTGAGAGCTTCAACTGCTCGTATCTCGACAACGAAGCCTTCGTTTTCAAAATGGAAAAGTACTTTTCGATTCGTATAAGCGCGAAGAATCGATCTTCGGATCTTCATCGCTAATATCCTGTATCAGCTTTCGAGACCGACGAAATCGAAGGGAACGCGTGTTAAACTCGAAGACCACCTGCAGGGATCGGAAGTGGTGCGAGAAACCGTCAGTTGGGAAGCACTGTTCCAAGTAATGCGCGCGTGGACCAAGGATAAGAGAAAGCGAGTCGGAGGATTGGACAATGCTGAAGAGAAAAGGAGAAAGGAGATCCTGGCACGCGGAGAGAGCGAACCTGGACGCATCTTGGCGATTACTGATTACCAAAGCGATTTGCACCGTCCGCCCGACGGACGATTAATTTCTGTAATGGAGTCGTACCGCGGGTATCATTGCTCATAGTTAATCCACTGCCCATTAGCTCGATTCTCGATATTGAATTTGCCTCGATATCGAACCACCGAACGGAATCACGCTCGCCTGGTAGTTTCCTATAATTCGTTCAACTACCTGCGATTTGTATCAATGCTTGCCAGGCTGAGTTTTTTCATTTTTGTTTCGGACTCGCCCTTCGTAGCTCAAGAGCGGCTGGGTACTTTCTACATCCGTGAATAATTAAATTACGCCAATGGAAATTCGTTTTCCTTCGTAACGAAAGCATCTCGCATCCCTTCTAAAAATACACGGAAGAACGGTACCGTAAGTACTTTCGTTCGATTAGGCATCCAGGATCCACGCTCCATCAAACGTCGTCTCCATATGTAACACCTACGCGAAGCTAGGATTGATGCAACGCGCGATTAGCGTCATCCATTACGTTCATTACCGGGAACATGTGCTCGATAAAATTTTTAGACGCCACGGGTGGCAAATGAGAAACGGTATCGGCGGATTAGACGTTGGTCCATGTGGCGTTCTAAACAGAGCGTTGGAGGAACATTGGGAAACACTGGTCCCCGTCGTTCGATTCGCGTGCTGGCATTAATCGACGGCGATACTTTAACGACACTTTAACGACGCTTTAACGCGCCATGGTTCCAACCTTGCCACCAAGAGGAGTCAGGTTCCAGGCGTCTTGCAAAATAAAATTCAAAATCTGTATGTTTGCGATCTCCCCATAACTCGTTCTACCTTCATCCGATTCGAATGTAATTTTTTTTTCATTGCTCCTCGTGTTCGGTAGGAAGATACGAGCTACTTTATTCGTAGAAATACTGTAATCATTCTCAATGAACGATCCACGAAAATAATCATCACCAGATTCAGGAGTCCATTGTTATCCAGACGAATATATTTGAATCCAAATAAAAATAGTAACTTTGCTCATCTCTGATTTCACGGTGAGACCAGGCTCAGCTTTTTGCGTGGCCCGACGCGTTTCAATGTAGCCTAATTGGCGCGTCCGCGATATTTTACCCTGCGCCACTTAATATCTCGTTTGCCAGGGCGAATCGGGTGCAGCGTATTAAGACCGGTGCACCAACCGCGGAACGGAGCCGCATCTCGTCCTCAGCCTCCCCCTCGCGTGTCCCTCGGCCCTTCGATTGATCACCGGCGACTTATTTCCCGCCACAGCCGGGAAAACACGCGTCCAGGTACGCACCGTGCCGTGTAATATATTTTTGATTGTATTTAGATGCGATTTTAAACGCCAGCCCTAGCCGTTCTGGACGTTCATCAATTTCCTCGCCCGTTCCCTCTGTTAGTGCCGCGCTGGACGCCTCGCGACCGATTGTCTTGGTCGATTTCGGTGTTTCTCGAGAGGGATTTTCATGTCGTCGTCGTAAACGGTGTTTGCAAGGGACCGGACGGTAGAATTAGAATTGGTAATTAGAATCGGGACGTAATTCGCAAGTGCTCTACATACCGAATTATCCAAAACGTTCAAACAATTCACTCGAATCTCGACCATACACCAAAGTTTCCATACCCCCGTTTCTTAAACACTCCGATAATTGCCTGCTCGAGGATAATGGGTCTACGTAACTACACCCCCTCGATGTAGGTCTAGTACAGTCCACGTAGATCCAGCTGGGGTCAATCTAGGTCCATTGTAACCGCGTCGAATTCAACGCGGGTCCAACGCAATCTAGGTCTATCTAATCTCGTAGCCCAGATCCACTTGAACTCGGGTCAAGTGTAACCTAGATCCAGCGGTGTCCGACACCGACACTCGCACATAGCCCTAACCCCGATCGATTCCGACGTTAATTCATCTCCGTCTTCGCTCTCGTACCGTAATAAGTAACTTTCGTGATCGAAGGGAGGAGCGGAACAACTCCAGGCGGTTTTTTTTTCCCCACCGAGCAGACGATGCCGAGGCAACATAACCCCGAGCGTTTTCCAACTATATGCACCCGATTACCAGGAACAAGACCGGCGTTTCTTGTTTCCACCGCAGAGAGAACGAGCGTGTTCCGGCTCTGACCGATGATGACGACGGGGCCATCTCGCCGGGTATCTGGACTCCTCCTCGATCCCAGAGACGAAGGTAACAGCTAACGCGGTACGTAGCGCAACCATCAACAACGGAGAACGATGTGATTTATGGAATTAATGGACCCTAATCCTCGGAACACAGGGACGGTAACCAGACGCACGACTTCGTCAGCTACTTCTTAGCCCGGTGCAAATTGCAATAATCTCCTCGGTTTCGAGATATTGCGAGACGTTCGAGGACTGTTTATCAGCATCCACGGACGATGGCGAACATGGTCTCGGGAACTTGATTGCAGGGTAGGAGATGACCATTCGAAGAACCCGAAGGGATGGGAGAGTGATCTGTTAACCGACGGTGGAAGCCAGACTGTTTTAGACGTTCCACGGACGACCTATCTTTGGTGACGATGAACAAAGAAACTCGGGTACCATTTCGATCCTTCATGAGGATTCCCATCGAGGGATGGAAGAAAATCACTGGACATGTTGGAGTCCGAGGAAGAGAAAAGTGTACCAATTTCAGACTTTCGATGGACGGTTTGTTATAGATTATAAAGACTCTGTTGGAGGAAATAACTACTCTTCAGTTGGTCCATGTCGGAGTTCACGAGAGAGGAAACTGAAGCCATATAACATAGAATATTAAATTTCAAACATTCGACAAGCAGTTTGTTGAATTTAGATCTTCCTAGAGAAGCTGCTGACCGTGGAGTACTCGACGTGGATTTTGTCTAAGAGAACAACAGAGATCGCAAGTGTTGAATCTGGAAAACAACTGGACCGATTCGAGCCGCGACTTTCGGTCGGATTGTTCGCGATAGCCGATGCGTTGCAGAAGATACGCTTCGTCACGATATCTCATCGGGAGGCTGAAGAGTAAACAAAAATGTCGGCCAGGAGAGATACGTGAATCGCAACAAAGTATAAAGCGTGACAGTGATCGACGCCGGGTGCTTAGTATCGACCTGCGCCGGCTCGACGTCAAGAAAGTCGCGGGGCTAAAAGATGCGGGACTTTTCCCAGGCGCGCGGGTATGTATTAGAGCGTTTGATGGAAAGGATGAACTTAGCTCACGGTTATTTAACGGGGAAGACAGATTTCGTGCGAATGCGGTCTTTGGAGTAGAAAGTGAGCGATGAGCGATGCTTCGGGAAGCTAACTTTGACGAAGTATCCATTGAGCAAACACCGGTGATTATGGCGATGAAGGGCTGGCCATCTCACCTGATATTCACTACTACCATTAGTGTGCTGAATAAATTAATCATATTGCAAGTTTAACAATTCCAAATACGTGTCTTCGAATATCCAGCGACCTAAGTCCTAAGAATTAATGCTAGTACATAAATTTGTAACATTACTGACGAATATTTTTGCGCTACTCCCTCTTATTAATTTTATATACCGTTAGATGAAAGCTACATCTGCATTTATGCACTCTACAATACCTACTTGAATTTAGCTCGTGTACAATAATTAAAAATAAAGATCTTCGCAAAAACGACCAAACATACCCTGTCATACGTAGTAGACAGCCTTCGCGAGCCCCGTAACAAAAAGCACCACCCACGTTTGGCAAATTCTTACTGTCACGACGATTACTCTCAAAACCATGAATCTTCATATCGTCTTCCTGTCACGCAAGCAAAAGTCTTTCCTATCCTAACAAATCCCCGATCCTCAACCTGGACTGCGAGTTCGCGCCATCAAGCACGTCCTCGTTAGCGCGTTAATCAGTCTCGCAAGGTGCTGTCCGCCATCGTGCGTCCAAGAATGATCATCGACGACAGCCCGTAACAGTTCTATGATCTATCGACGACCGGGACGCTCGGCATAGCTGTCCGTCACGGAGGAATCATAAAGACGAAGTGGTCTCCTCTTCGCGGACGCACTTTCGCGCGCTCCTCGATAAATTCTCCGCTGCGGTGCTTTCTCGTCGGTCTCTTTTTTTTTTTTTTTTTCACGATGGCGTGTCCGCGGGCGATATCCCCTTCGAGGATCGCCCCCGAGAACGAAAGACGGAGGATTACCCGCCGCTGGATCCCGCTACAGGATGGAACGTGGTAAAAACCGTCGTTCACGGATCTCGTCGTTAATTGTCCGCGCGCGTTTCCTCATTCTCGCTGGGGCCCCTTTTGCTTTTCTTCTTTCGACCTCTTGGCTGGATCGGTTAGGCGAATCGACGCAGGAATGCAATTTGTTAGGAACGTCGAATCGCGATGGCCGTTTTAATTCCACGGGCCTTCGAGAGGGTGAATTGTGATTGAATTGGGCTGCGAAGGGGGGGGTTAATCCTAAATCTTGGACATAGGTCTTATCTAGTGGGCTAGCGTGAAACAGTCTACTTCCGGAAGGTGTTTCCGAAGGTAGACAGTAGAACTAATAGTTGATACGTTCGGATCTATGGAGCTGGATTTGGTAGAATCTGTATCCAACTAGACTGTTACAAATGATCTACACCTAGGATAAAGGGTAACAAAATAGATAGAGTACCCCATCCTAGATTTACTCAACTCTGCGTGCAAGAGACCAGCAGCGTTCCTCGAAGAGTCTTTGCCGAATCCTAATTACATAAACACCACCACCCCCCCCCTCTCCCCCACCCCGGGTCGAGTCACTGGCCTGGCAGAGCAACGACTCTTCAGGAATTTCGCTTTTTCCGAAGAGCCGAAGTTGGGTGCACCTCCTGAACACAATGGCAAGTCCCAGAAAAGGAGCATTAGAATCGCCTAGAGGAATCCTCGCGCCTAGGCGCGTTCGAGAAAACGGAAATTACTCGAATCGTCGATCGAGATTTAAACGAGCGGTTTTCGAGCTCCCTCCTCTCTCTCTCTCTCTCTCCCCCCCATCGGTCCGGATAAAAGACGATAAAAGGCGTATTGTACTGGAAACTTTCTCTCGGGATTCATTCGCATCGACGCGCATCCTTCGCAATCCAGGATACCGATTACGATCCCTGGAACAAGGAGGCCTGCTTGTTATTATAAATTTCAGCTCGGTACGTTCTCCGCAAAAGTACGAATTCCGATTCCGGCACTCGAGGGCTGCCAGGATAAATGGTAATGGGGGCTTGGTCGGCTGAATGCTTGCTACATCGGATAATGGTCTCCTTGATTCTTCCTCTGACTTCGACCAGCCATCGTTTCCACGTCCCCGAGCGTGGAAATGGAACGACAACCGAAGGGGGGTTCCCGCGCTTTTATCTAGTCGGCGCCATTCGCCGCTTCCACCTTTTTTCCTTTTGCCATTGAACTTCGATTCTCCCCTCGATCTTCGGACGTCCGCGTAGCTAATGAAAATATTTTCACCGCACGATGTTCCCAGACCGACTGCGAGCTCTTTCGCGGATGTTTCGACGAGTAATATACGTTTCTGAATTGTTGGACGGCTGTAATGGGGCCTGTCGAGCGACCGCGAGTGGCCATTAGGACGCTGGAGAACCGGGTCAGCTTTGCTTCCCACGAGTTACCGATTTCTGTTGCTCTGAGGATATTTAAATGGCTGACGTTCGAACCGTTGTCTGTTGAGCTAGAGAGATCAATGCTGTATTCTGTTTCTCTTAGAAATTGCGACTTTGAAATTTTATCGAATGCAGGTGAGATTTCTGAAGGTTCGAGGAACGATGACAAATTTTAATCTCACAGGGAAATGAAATTAGAATAGAGCTAGAATCCACATTCCACATTTTACCAAGCCTCTTAAACTGTCCGCACCTTTCCAAACTGTTGCGTTTCTTGTCCCATTCTCCATCTCCTCTTACTCCTTTTTCTCCTCCTTCATCGAACTTCTCGCTCTTAACTAATAACGTGTCCCACACTAATCGTCTCATTGTCCCCCACTCCATTGTTCCTCCTTCCCTCACCCTCCAGGTCGCGCGAATAATAAATCGCCAGCCGGTACGTTCGTTCCATAAAATGTCAAGTTTTGCCGAGGTCCGCGAGGACAACGGCGACCTTGCGGTCTAAGCCGCAAAAGTAACGACCTCTCGGTAGCGAACCGCCCGAAGCGGTCGGATATTTGCCTTAAACGGCGAACCGGAAGGCGGCTCGCGACGTCGGCCATTTTTTTTTCTTCGCCGCGTGTCGAGCCAGAGCCTGGACAAGGTAGCGAGGTAAAGAACCGTGGAGGAGCCGCGTTGCGGCCGAGGATCCGCGGTGCGTGAGCATTGTCTCGACGAGACCGTAAATACTTCAACCCCGGAGTCGCTTTCGCCCGTCGTTGTCCAGGAGGGTCCTGTAACGCGTCCGGTGGAGAATTTTTCTTAAGCGTGCCGAAGAATTCTGACCACCCAGAATCCAGGAACGACACCGATACGTGCCGGCTTCGATAAAATATCGATTTCCGAGCGGCGAGGGGAGGACAGGCCGCGGATCCCCGTTAACGCACGATTTACACACGAACGCGAAATTCGCGTGCTCGTCCATCGCGATTGAGACGGAACCGGAGGTTCGGAGATCGTTCGAGCACGAGAAGCGCGGAAGGGAGGAAGGAACGCGACGGGAGGAAACGTTAGACGCGTGGAAACTCGAGCGGAAGAGTTAAGGGCCGAGGGAGCTTGGAAGGCAGACGCGAAGTGGCGGTGAAAAGAGGAGCAAAGCGAGCCGGTCGAATCGGAGTTGGCCTTTTGCGACGAGGAATCGTGCGGAGGTCGAACTAAATCCGGTACGAGATCTGTTAGAAAGGCACTGGGATATCGTAGAGTATAGGGTCGCAATCGCGATACCATGGATGAAATAAGTATTCCACTCCAATTTCCTCCGAATTTTAGAGGGGTTTGATTCCATTTCGAGGGCTTTAGTCTCACGTGACACTAAATCCGGTATGGGTTCTTTTAGAAAAGCATTGCATATCGTAAAGTACATGGTCCTAATCCTAATGAAATAAGTATTCTACTCCAATTGTCCTTCAATTTTGGAGGGTTTAATTCCATTTCGAGATCTTCGTTCTCCCTCGCGGCAGTCTTTTAGACCCACCGTGGCGTCCAGGAACTCCTCGATTCATCCGCGTCGCGCACAAACGCGCGATAAATCGCCCAACGGGCGGAATTAACAGGAGCGGCGGGGTCAAAAAGCTTGACCGTACGTTTCTCTCGGGTTCGTCGGCGAGCACAATCAGAAAAGCTCCGAACTGTACCGTCGAGCGACCTTCCACGCCGAGAGTGGTATATGACCCTCTTAATGAAGTCCGACAGATAGCCAAGCGAGCGCGTACGGGGCTCGCTGAAGCATGGCGCGAGCCTCGTTGTACGGCGATTGTAAGGGACACCGTGCGATCAGGAACACCGCGAACGACTCGTGCTATTCGATATAACACGAGTAGACCATAGAGATCGGCGCGAAAAAAGCCGGCAGGGAGGGAATTTCTGCGTCCTCGCCACCGGCCGGAGAAACCTGAAAACCCTCGTCGAGTCACCGCGACGCCTGTGAACCCCACCGTGATAAATCAGGGGGACCTTTTTATGCTCAGCCGCGTTCCATGGCGCCTGACAACGAAACTGTTTCGATAAATATGATCCAAGGAACCCGGAGATCACCCGATACACGACCGTGTCCGCGTTACAACGCTCCGCTATATTCGTCGCCCCTTTTTCCGTGCTAATCGAGCTCTTTTGCCTTGAGCTGCGTCAAATGATTCGATCGACTTTAATCAAAGATCCATTACGCTTAGATTTATAACGATTTCGT